TAGAATCCTTAACGATGAAGAATTTTTCCATTTTTTTAAAAACTAAAACGTTAACTAGCGACTAAATCTGAACTGAGCACGTCTGTTCGCTGTAGCTAACTGACAAGATAATTTACGATGATTCATAGGTATTTATAATCTCAATTATACCCCCACCACTTTTTAACTGACCACAGTGTTCCAAGGTCACCGCTGGCCGGTATTAACTAGTTGACAGCCTGCGCTCCCTGCCCATTCACCCATGCTTGACAGCCCCGCCCGGTACTTCTTGCATATCACAGCTACGACTACACCGGCGCTGAACCTAACCTCATTTGCGACGTAGGTGATTGCCTTGTTGGAATCTATTAGATACACAATATAGACTGTACTATGTTTTCAATATTGTATCAATGTTAAAAATTAACTAACATTAACTGTATGCACCACATATGAGCAATTCCATTTTTATATGCACACTGAATATGACGTGTTGACTATTGAGATCATCCTATACGCATTGTTCTCCGCGAATTTTATACGTTTTTCCAATTAAACTGAATCCGCAGAATTGCATCTATAATTACCAGTATTCATCGGCTTTTATCGATCTATATGCAAATATTTACCGCAAAACATGAAATGAGTCACATCACTTACGCATAGACGTTATACTACACCTTACTATCGTTGGCTGTCTGAATCACTTCCGGTCGGGTGCGGCATCTAGCCCGCCAATCAACATATACCATCAACCCCGTTCAAATTTCCCGCCGTCTGATCCGCCAATCAGAGCACGCGGTGGATCTAGCGGTTCCCGCCAATCAACATATACCATCAACCCCGTTCAAATTTCCCGCCGTCTGATCCGCCAATCAGAGCACGCGGTGGGCGTGGCCAAAGTGGAAGTGGTGGGGGGTGTCCATAGTAGCCCATATTCTACTGGGCTCGTGAATCAGGTGACTTAAGACCTCACAGGGGACCTCACAATCAAATACAGGTCCGCACTGAAATACTTGTCGGGAGGATACTTTATAAAACAAGGTAAACATTTTTTTTTAATTTTTTTTTATTTTTACACACATATTTTGGTTTATCTTCCTTCTACAATCATTATCTGAAAATTAATGACTCAACTTCAAAGTCACCCTGTATATATATATAAATGAATCCCTATTTCCCGTGGTCACGCCATAACGTGAGAAGGACCACCGCCCACACAAACAAAATAACTTTGCGCAGCTATTTTGTTTGTGCCATGCACAACTAACGCAAACGTGTTTTAATACACTTAAGCTGCGTAAAGTTTAACGCAATACTCAAAAAATAGCCAAACAGTATTCGAAAACAGGATTCGAATACCAAGATTTCAATATAAAGTGGGCATTCGAATACGGTATTCAGAATCCAAGGAACCGAGAACTGACCAAAAAGGTATTCAGTCGAATACCAAATTCAAAACACACAAATGTATTCGAATAGTATTCGAATACCAGCCAAATGCATTCTGAGTGGGATTCAAAATACCGAGTATTCGAATAGTACCCAAGTCTGACAGGAAGGCCTGTCTCTGTCCCGAATTTGAACACATGTTGAGATGCATACTGAAATTAACGGGATTCGCGAGAAGATCGAGCAAACAATAAGAGACACGTTTTTTGACATCATCCGAAATACATGTGAATTATCTATTGACGCAAACGAGTCACTAAAAGACAATTTTCTACAATTCTGCAATAATTTTATAGGCCATCACGATATGATTTTACATAAAATAACATTATCTCCAAGGTCCTCTTTTTAAACTTAAAATCTGAAATAAACTACAACTTTCAAGAAGCTGCGAATCCTTTGGAGATAGAAGAAGTTAAATGTGGATTGCCTGTATAGAGAATTTCAAATAATCACTAAAGGCCTGAATAATGTTAGAGCAACTTTTGATGGCAGGACTATGGGTGAGATTGTAAAGTGTAAGCAACTCATCGGAAGGCTATCCAATTCCGAAATCCGTAACATTTTCCTAATTTTAATCTTCGTTTTTAGTATTCATACGAGTAGCTCAACCTGTTTCGTAGATAAGGTTTTTTTAAGATGGTATTTAAGTGGACTGCTGGACGGATTAACTGTACTCCTTACTTAATAAAAATCAATTTGATGACCGTTTTTAATCGCGATTATAATAGCATTGGTTTTCCCAAATAAATATATGGTAAAAATGACTCGATAATCATCAAAATATCGAACAAAAAAGATTTGACTAAACATTTTATTTGTCCCGGATAAAAAACTTACTGAAATCCCGAATTTTTGCCTATTTAAGCATGTGTCCCTTATTGGCTGGAAAAAATCTGGCAACCCTAGTCCTGAACCATCTATAACATTAGGTGAAAACGAAACTATAAAGGAAGAGTGGATCCAAAATCATTGCCTTTTGGAGACAACATCGGCAGGTAAAGGAAATAATTATGCGTCTAATGTCGGGGATGGGATGGACATTTCTCTCTTTCCATCGAAATATTTTGCGATTGATTGTTGAACATTACGTTAAGGCGTATACTACACAAAATGGAGGCGTGTCTTGAAGCACTTGATGCCCAATCCAGAAGCGTCTTGGCTTTTGCGAAAAAAATTAGTAGGTATGCGACATTTTGTTCTGTTTTTACACCATAGCAGCCGCCTATACAGAAGGTTAGCAGTAATGGGAAAAGCCTCCTTAGGCAGACTGTTGCATAAACTCGAGTCCCTAGAGACAGAGGAGCGGTCGTACCGGCCAGTTCTAGATGTACGAATTTCGACCCGGTTAGGATGGGAGGCCAAAGTCAGGCAGGTCTGTCTGGCAGGCTCATCATGCGGCCGCATCATGGAGGAGATCTCTGTCGAGCAAAGTCCGTTGGCATAGCGGTAGAAGACAGCCAGATCCTCGACGACTGGTCGGTGCGAAAGAGTCCAGAGACCTTCCGTTAGATAAGTGTCGTCGATCAGTCTCTGAACAATATCGAGTATACAGGTAGATAATGTAGTCGGGGTGGCAGTTCCCAAACACGTGACCAGTACTCGAAGCTAGATCTTATCTGGGCCTTGTACAGAGTGAAGAGTTCCGACCAGCCGAAATGAAGGGCTCTTTTTATAGAACTCGGCCATACATCGAAACCGGATGAGCGCTTGGGCGCTTATTATTAGTACTGTGTTTTTAAAGCATTATACTGCACCAGACTGTTACGTCCCCAAGCAGTGATAGCCTCCAGATCGGATGTGGCTGCCACTCTTCCTTTCTCCAGCTGACCGATGTAGGGAGTGCTGTCATCATCAAAGTTGTGGATCAGATTGATCTTACGGGAAAGGGGGTAGTTGATATGTAATAGAAACAATGTCGGAACCAAGTACCGATTCCTGGGGAATACCCGCGTTGACTTTAAGGGCTTAACAGAACAACCCGTCATTGAGGGAGCTCAGCATTTCTCTCATTTTGCATACTAGCGGACGCACTTACCGGAGCGCTATCAGAAAACGGACCTGCTGTTCCGGAGGTAGCCTTAGGAGTGTCTGCGTATAGGATTAGGAGTAACAATAGGTAATTGACGCTTTGAAATGGTCTTCGTTCCATATTCGTCATGCGTGGAGTCGCAATGCCATCTCAAGCTATATAGGGACTAATAGGCATGCAGGAAGCTAGGGGCCTGCGGCTGAAGTGGCCACAGGCTAGACTGCTAGAGCGATATCCGGGGTCTTATTGCGTTCATTTTTAGGCATTTGGGGGCCTCTCATCTAGCCGGGGCACTGGGCACGAGACCCGTGTGCTCATATCGTGGAATCATAGTCTTTATTGAAAAAAGCAAGAAACGCTGTTAACGTACCTCTTGCAGATTACACTAATTGCGTTTGCGGGTCAAAAAATGAACCAGTTCGTAACTAAAACTGAACCATCCAGAATTACACAAATGCGCATGTCCAGTTATTTTCTAGTTCGAGATTTTCGTTTCGACTTTGGAACCGTTTGCGTAATCAACACTGTTGCCAATTTGCCCTCTATTTTGTGCTGTTGCTAAGCTGCTATTCGATTGACACTATTGACAGCTTCCAGGTGTTGTCGGACCTTCAATAACTTCCAATAGTTCTTCCAAATCACCACCACTAAACGATAAATGGTCCGACATCTTAAGCACAAAATCTTAAGCACAGAATCTTAAGAACTTGAGATGGAACACACAAAACATGTATGGAACAGCAAGCACTAAAAAGCACAGGTTACAGATTTTCGCAGAATAGGTTAAACACTTTAAACCCGAACAGAGGCAGCGGAAGATGAAATATCAAATGTCCATAACGATGCTAATGCGCATGATCAGCCGGATCGAACTTTTAGTCTCACCAAAAATCTGAGAACCGTCAGGACCAATTCGGAATTAGTTCTGTACCAATTCGATATGATCCGCGAACGCAGAACTGTAACTAAAAATTCAGAATTTTCTTACCGCGAACGCCGATTTTTGAAGTGCGCATGCGAAGTGGTTCAGAATCAATCCCGAATCGGAATCGCGAACGAAACTACTATTCCGCATAAAAAAGATATTCAAACCGCGTCGTACTTCTATGAAATCCTGAATTGCGGCTGTCCCGTCGGTATTTTTTGTTTTTTCAACAATGAAGAGTTTTTCCGATAACATTTATGCCTTACCGCATTTCAGAGAATAAAACATTTTGATATCCGAATTGTCCCCTGTGGATTCCATAGCATGTGTAAACATTTCCTATAGACGTATCCATGCATACTTAAAAATATCATTCGCCTGAAAAAACACCGCGTGATGGTCGTTTGTTTTTATCGTGTGGGAGCATCCACAAATATACACTTGTGCCTCCCAATCTGTTTTCACCCTTCCGGCTGCCAGGCTTCCAGCAGGCCACATGGCATTGCTGTTAAATTATCCCAATTGGGATCAGCCAGTGACTGTACACTGCCGGGGAAACATATGGGGTAACACAAACGTTTAACATGGGCGCATCGCGAGAAAAAGCTGCAAGGTTTTCTTCCTAAAATAGAAAATATAACTTGCGATCAGTGGAAGCTAATTGGAATTTTTTGAAGCCGCATTTAAAAAACAAGGATAAACCACAAGTTATTCTCCGCAGAAGCATGGAGGTGGTCAGAATACCATCCTCGATTCGCAATTGTGAGTCCTGTAAAAATGCTCAGGGTTCATAAAGACGTTTTTCGCCGCGAAAGTAACTCTAATTTTAGTTATTTTCACAACATAACTTGCTGTTTTTTTCAAGCCCAGGGTTTGCAATATTGCATTTTCGTTTAAGATTCATTCATTTTTTAATATTTAACTTGCTGCTCTTACTACGCATGGTCGCAACACTTCAAACTTCAAATCTATATTAAAACAAACATACGCTAAAACAAAAAAAGTGTTGCGTCTATTAGCTCCCACTGCTCACAGTAAAACAAAATCGAAGCAAATGGATAACGAGAATCCAACTTCTTATTTAGAGAGCAATGGCACAACAGTTTCATTTTTACGGCAATGGTGTTCTACATAACACCTCCACCGGGCAGGCCCTCTTGAGGAAACTAGATAAATCTACAGGCTGTCCCAGAAATAACACACCAGAGTGACACGAACATAATATACTGAAGTTTTAGAGTTTTCAGGTTATTGCCACTTTGGTTTTTTTTTTAAATTTCTACTTTTTGCTCTTTTTTGCCTGTTATGGCTATAAAGAACCTCTAAGTTATGATTTATTACATTTGGTTTCAATGCGAAAACCTTTACTAATTACTGTGAAAAAAAATTACCAGACTGTAAATTAGCGAATGACCTTAAAAACTAGCCATTCAATATTCTTTCAAAAATAGTATAACATTTGTAGGTTCTTTCTACTAAAAACTAAATAATTCCAAGTTTTGTCATTCAAGTTGTAATACTTGAGAAATACTACAAATAAAAAATAATATTTTTAAAATAGCATTAAATAGGTCACTCATTAGGATTGTCACTTTTTAGGATTATTTGCTAATTCAGTCTGATATATTTTTTTTCACAGTAATTAGTCAAACTTTAGTAAATGTTTTCACATTGAAACGAAATGTGATAATTTTTTTTAGCATACCCTGCTAGCTTTCAATGAAATGAATACTCTGTTGTCTCAATTAATAGTAGCTAGTTAGAAGTTCCTTATAGCCATAACAGGCAAAAAGGAGCAAACAGTAGAAAACTTTTACTAAGGAATGTTGATTTTATCTGATTGATCTGAAGTCAATCTACCTCCCGTCACACTGACGTCTTATTTCTGGGACACCCTGTATAAGTCATAAGGTTAACGATTACGCAATAAGGAGGCCTCAGATCAAACAAGACATTTGACACTCGCATGTGTGAAATCTGTGAAGGCAAATAAAGCGATCTCACAATAAAAAGGCCTCAAACGACTAGGAGTACCACTTGTACTAAGCAGAGACACTTATAATCCGCTAGATGGCAGCTCAGTTATTAAGCCCTGCTATAAACCATATCCCTCCTAAATTCACCCAATGCTCTCCAGAACACCGGTATCAGTGATGGCTGTCTAATGCGGTGTTTTCAAATTTGCGATAACAAAGTTGATTACTTTTCAAGCGGCCGGCTGCATTAGATGAAAAGAATAGCTTGTAAAAGGATTGCTACGTAATCTTCTACAGTTCAAAGTTGAAAATCACGGCATTGGAAAAATCGCTGTTGTTGAAGGATTAAGGAATTAAGGACTTGATATTTTAGAAGATCCAAGTGATATGTGCTTTCTGTTATGTTTACCTTACTGTAACATTTTAGCTTAATAATCGATCATTCTATAACATATCAAAGTTTCGGAAAATGAGCTGATTTATGAAATTTGATTGTTTTCAATAGTCTCGCAACCAGACTGGATACTGCGATTTCTATGATACCTTGACAGCGGTAAGTGGGCGGGGAGAGTGGAAGGCACGGTCGAATAGATTTTTTCATCGAATTTCAGAATTATCACGTTTATTTTTTGAGCAATCTTATCATATGTCGACAAGATACCACATTTTACAAGTCATAAGCAACCAAGACGTGACAGAAGAAATTTAGTAGAAAAGTTATCAAATATCATTGTCTGAAAAAAACAAGGTTTTTCTATGGGTTCATGACATAAACATACTTTAACTCAATGTAAATACGAAAATTCAAAAACTCGGGTGAAAAGATCGGAAATTTTTGAATAAAGGTCAAAAACCTAACAATAGTTTCATTAAACCACTATACCACTACATAACACAACAAAGATCCAATCACGGACGACAAAAAAACAACATAAAATACGTTAACAACCGCCTTAAACTACGCCTATGTTCTGCTTTCATGCCGCTGTACGGTTCGGCGTACGGATTCTCTCTCGCCTCCAGATGTTATACCGTAATCTAATAGTTAACCTAAACAGAAGAGTCAAGTGCACATCTGGAATTCTTTCCAACGGCCACATCAGCCAACGAGCAGTAGGCGGCACAGAAAACATCTGGTCCGAAGATTCGTTCTGTATATAGGGATTGTTTCGAACGCTGATACCGCTTCCGGAACTTCCTGTTCTCTGGTTAGATCTTCATGTTTCTAGGATGGTGGTCCTGCAGTGTGATATCCCTTTCAAGCATGGTCAATTTTTGACAGGAGGTTAAGGGAGTGTCGAGAAAAATGTGGGTATACAGGAAGTGTGCTTTCTGCTCTTACGAATTCAACGATCAGGATTGTCTTTTTTTAAATAAAACGAGTAAACAATAACTTTTTACGTAGACTAGGAGTTTTTTTTTGAGAAATATTTACGGAAGTTATATGAATCACGTGTCTTTAATTGCAATTTGTGTGACGACACATCATGGCCGTTTTTACCGTTTCAAATTAAAAATGAAGTATTTATATATATACAGGGTTATCCAAATTAAGTGTCCACCATTTGTAACTTTGTTATTAGTGAAAATACAAAGTTGTTTGAATTAGCAAACTAGTAGCATTTTTAACGCTGGTAAAAATGAGAAATAAAAAAAAACAATTGAGAGTCGTTATTTTGATTTTTTTCAGTAAAATAACATTTTTTTAAATGGAAACCCCTGTATATTATATTTTTTCTGTTAAAGCATCAAATTTTAAACAAAAAAGTTCATAATGACTTTTCCGCTAAAGTCAAAAATAAAGTCAAAATAACGATAAATATTTTTAATTATTTGCAGTATTATAATATTAAGACGGCTATCAAAACAACATGGCGTTCGCGATTTGACAGCATTAAGATAAGCGACAAATTGTTAAACTGGACATACTCGCAACTAGAAGGCTTTGGAAAACAATGATAAAATCAAATAATGTCAAACATTAGTGTAAATACTTGTTTATAAGCTTTATTGTGTCATTAATTTAAAGAAAAATGTTCTCCCATGAAGAAAAGTGTGATATGTTAGAATGCTATTTAGTGTGCAGAAAATCCTCCTTGAGAGCAAGAGAATACTACAGTGAATTATATCCCGGTCGCATTCAACCGTATGAACGATGTTTTCTGAGACTTTATCGAAAATTTAGGGGCAACGAAAATGTTTTTGCTAAAACAAGGGCAAAAAAAGAATTCATAATAAGCGAGGCCACGGAAATTGCAGTTATTGGATATTTTGAAGCTTATCGTGAGAATTCAATAGCAGATATTCTCAAGGACTCTAATTTCAGTTATGGTACTGTTCAAAGGATTTTAAAAAAATACAAATTTATTCCGTATAAGTACCGACCAGTTCAAACGCTTTTGGCAGGGGATCCAGAGAGAAGACTTGTTTTTTGCCATTGGTATCTTAGCTTCTGTCGCCAAAATGTAAATAACTTTCGTTACCTTTTATGGACAGATGAATCAAATTTTTCAAATTCTGGAATGTTTAATAGAAAAAACCACCATTATTGGTCAAGAGAAAATCTTTTGTTAGTACATCCAAGAGGCCCACAAGTCCGTTTCAGTTTCAACGTTTGGTGCGGTATAATTGGTTCAAAAATTGTTGGCCCGTTCTTTTATGAGGGAACCCTAACTGGTGAAAGATATGTGGAATTTATGTCAGAAATTCTGACTAATTTCTTAGACGAATTGGATCTTATAAGTAGACATCATCTGCATTTTCAGCAAGATGGCGCACCTGTCTACAACTCCAGAGGTACTTATCATTTTCTAAGTACTACTTTTAATGATCAGTGGATAGGAACAAATGGCCCAATACAGTGGCCTCCCAGATCACCAGATCTAAACCCACTTGATTACTTCTTGTGGGGTTACTTAAAGAACCAAATTTACAAGCGAAGGTACGATAACCTTGACGCGTTAAAGACTGCAGTTAGGGAAAAGATAACCCAGATAGATGGTAGGACCATACTTAAGACAGTTCGAGCAGTTGAAAAACGTACCCAAAAATGTATTGAAGAACAAGGTGGTGTTTTCGAGCATCTTCTTTAAAAAAAATTGTTATTGTATTTTGTAAGATTATAAGTTGATGTTGAAAATAAAGTTTGTCGATACAATTTAATTGTTTCAGATTGGAGGCCATAACTTCAACAATTTGTAACTTAGGAGAAAAGTTATTGTAAGCTTTTTTGTTTAAAATTTGATGCTTTAACAGAAAAAAATATAATATACAGGGGTTTCCATTTAAAAAAATGTTATTTTACTGAAAAAAATCAAAATAACGACTCTCAATTGTTTTTTTTTTATTTCTCATTTTTACCAGCGTTAAAAATGCTACTAGTTTGCTAATTCAAACAACTTTGTATTTTCACTAATAACAAAGTTACTAATGGTGGACACTTAATTTGGATAACCCTGTATATATATATATATATATATATATATATATATATATATATATATATAGGTGAAAAATTAAAGCTTCCGCCTTTTGTTGGGTACTTCGACAAAATTTAAGCAAAGCGGACACTTTATACTTTTTTTAATTCTCTCTAGCTTTCAATGGACTTTGCCATCATCATCAGGAGCTGCAATTACAATGATAA